CCCTCTCCCACCCCTGATTTTCCCCTCTCCTATTCCTGATTTTCCCCTCTCCTATTTCTGATTTTTTCCTCTCCCACCCCTGATTTTCCTCTCTCCCACCTGATTTTCCCCTGTCCATCCCTGATTTCCCCTCTCCACCCCTGATTTTCCCCTCTCCCACCACCTCAGCTCTGCTTTGCAGGTCCTGTCTAGGCTTGGTTCATGAGCAGGTTTTTTTTTTTTTTTCCCCTTGTAAACCCACCAGGAAACTCACAAAATTAAATTGAACACCTCTCACCAGCCCAAAATCAGCACAGAATGTTGCTAAGGTTCTAATTTTTTTTTTTTTTTCGGGCCGGTTTTCCCCAGGGAAAATAATTTCTATCCCACAACAAACATTATGTTTTTACAGGAGGCTGAAATGTCAAAGCTCTTCAGCCATGGTTTAGAAAGAAGGGAGTTGTGAAATCATCTTTTCACTACAAGGTATTGGGTGGTTTTGAATAGAAGAATTTGTCTTTTAGCACAGATTTCTGATCAGCTCTATGGCCAACACAGCCTGAAGTTAGAATCTGTTCACTACTCTGAAACCTGAGTATAATACTGGCTTGAAAACAGCAATTTATGCCCCCAAAAAACCCCTCTGAGCAGTGTTATTTTCATTTAACAAGTGAATGGCTCCATTTCATGAGAGCCAGCAGTGCAAAATATTTTCTTGATGGCAGCAAATGTTTCCACTGAACGCTGACCACCAACATCATGACTGCATTTTCCCTTTGGTGATGTAACTGCAGAGTGTAATCACTTCTGCAATATTTTCCCAAATATTGCCACATGGAGTATTTCCTCCCTAGATGTGAGGAAATTTGGCTGCTGCTGGCTGCACAAAAATCATCATTTTATGTTAAAATCCACACTTCCCACCAGGCAGTGGCCACTTCTCCTTCCTCCATGAAATCCTGGGAAAACCCCATATAACAACAACAGTGAATAATAACGGGCAGAACACTTCAAAGTTCCAGCAGCAAATGCTCCACTTTAATGTTCTAGCCTAATTTTAATCCAGTTTTCCATGTTATGTTTTATTCTAATTGGTTGGTGACTTCCTTGCCACTCAATTCATTGCTTAGAAGGTGCCTGTGTGTGTTTGTGCTAATTCTCTTTACACAGGTGTTTGCATTTTTCCTTTGTGGATTTTCATGGGATAGATTTCTTAAATTTTCACAGATGCAGAATGTCTTTTT